GCGATTGGTTATTATATCATTATTAATGGTGAGACAGCAGCTCAGCGGTTACACTGTCTCAGTGTTTGGTTATTAAATCATAGCGATTGGTTATTATATTATTATTAATGGTGAGACAGCAGCTCAGCGGTTACACTGTCTCAGTGTTTGGTTATTAAATCATAGCGATTGGTTATTATATTATTATTAATGGTGAGACAGCAGCTCAGCGGTTACACTGTCTCAGTGTTTGGTTATTAAATCATAGCGATTGGTTATTATATTATTATTAATGGTGAGACAGCAGCTCAGCGGTTACACTGTCTCAGTGTTTGGTTATTATCGTATTATTATTAACGGCGAGACAATGGCTCAGTGGTTGTTTTTATTCCGAACCTGGTTCTGTGTGTAGGGTTTGCATGTTTGGTTGATGGAATATTATATAGGGATATGAATCTCAGTAATAAATCAAACGGAATGCTTAAAAGTATCCTAAAATTAAGATAAAACTCTGACCAAAATTCACAAAAAAAGTTCACACATCCTGTTACCAGCCTCCATAACAGCAAGCAATCTAGATCTAACCACAGGAATGGGGAACCACCAAACTTCCTTATAATATAACATAAGAAGAGCTCACTGCACGATTCTATTTGCAGCAAGAGCAAGCAGCTATCTGCTGAGGGAATATCGACAGGCAAAATCCTCACCGGCACCAGCAGCCGACTTCATGGTAGCGAGCACTGGGGACAGTGTCATGTCGCCAAAGAAAGTCGCTAAGGGCAAGACATCAGGTCTGCTATACATAAAGACGTCAGGGAACATTTTTAAAGAAGGCATCCGTAAAGCGCGAGGATCAGTACCGGATGTCATACACCGGGGGGCGCAGGTCATGCGGACCATGAGCAAAGGCGCAGTGCAGGCCGTTCTTCACACAGTGCCCCCTAGCATCCGTCTCATGGATACATGTGCCGGTCTTGTAGTAGCGCAGATGGTATTTCCTCTCTGTATCGCCAGTTGTTCGGTGTAGGTAGGGACACCTAATAACAGGGACAGACAAAGTTTACTATGTATTATTTATTATTTCAAACAGGAGAACACTGGACAATATAGCATGCATGACAAATCAAACTCTCATAGTAAAGCAACGTAAATATAAACATGATATCAATAACAAAGCAAACTGAAGTATTTTAAAATGTGGTATTTTTACAACACAAAAGTCCTTGCACGTCAGTCATATACTGCAGGAAAGATGTTAGGATTCTTAGACCTGATTCTAAATTTCAAAGACAGTAAAGACAGGAGATTTACATTTTTGAGATGCCAGAATTTTTAATTTTATAGAATATGAGCTTTCCTTGCTCATATTTTCATGGAATTTTAGCTTACATGACCAGTAATATTTAATTTGCAATAAAGACCAACCACTTCAATTTGTGGGGATATTATATTAAAATTACAGTTAGAAAAACTGAGTTTTTAAAAGACAATAGAATTTTAGTAATGATTTATTTCAGTGTTGCATGTTTAATAATTTATTCTCAGAAATACAGGAGGCAGCACTGTGGACCAGCTGCCTCTGATATACGGAAGTTACTGTGTGTGTGTGTGTGTGTGTGTGAGTGTGTGTGTGAACGTGTGTGTGAACGTCCTTATCATTGTGGGTCATGTAATGATCGCCTTTCTAAAGTGTGTGGGAGTTCATGACAGTGCAAAGGAGATGCTCAAAGGAGATAGCGGGCTGTTCTTTTTAAAACTAAACTTTTTTTGTGTCATTTGCCCTTTAAGTTTGAATAGCAGCAGAACTCAGCTATTTAAATTCACAAACCACCACAAACCATCTGATGTTACATTATGCTTTTTAATGACCTAATTCATTACGGAACTTGTCAGTGGGGGAGACGGGGGGGGGGAGATTCAAAATAAAAAGTGTGCATCATATTTCTCTCCAGACTTTTTTTATTTTATTTATTTGTTATTCAACTTTCTGTAAGAACTCTGTTTACCATCTCCTTTCATGACCACTACATGCTGCACTTTGACAGCACGGTGCTCTTTGTCCGAGATCAAGTCAAATATACACAAAATAAAATAACAAATAAGACTTCTAATAAGTGCTACGCATGACCACTTTACTGATTAAGACCAGCCTTGTGTACCATCCCTGTTGAGGCAGCTAACACAGGACAGTAAAGTATGACTGGACTACAAGTCCGTCCGTCCGTCTGTTCATCCACCCATCCATCCTGGTATTTAGAAATCCTGGTATTTTTAAATTGTGTTGTACATCTTAACCTTGAAGTGGTATAAGATAGCTGTACAAGATGTTTGAGACGTGCACACAGACAACTGCATAACTGAAAACAAATTCAGAATAGTTCTGACATTATATACTAATTATGTACTGATAGCTAACCTTCTTACTAGTTAAACTGAAAAATCCCTGCGGTAGCCATGTTAACCCAGTACACTTGAGAGTTTTTACATGTATTTTTTTCATGCGTTAATCCACAGCAGATTTCAGTAGCGGGAAGGGGTTACAGGTCGTCTGCTGTCTGGGATGCTTCCCTCATTCCCTGTAATGATCAAAGGCAGCCTCGAGAGAGCACTAGGAAACGCCAGAGCTAACCATCACCTACTCCAGTAAGTATACTTCGGATTCATTTTCTGTCAAAGGGTAAAATTACCTTGGTTTGTTTAAGACAAAACAGCTTTGTTTATTGACCGCTGATTATCTAGAGTACAGAATAGACTACAATCACAGTCCATGGCTCAGAAAATATTCGGAATGATTTGCTAGACGGCCCAAGAATCAACAGCCTTACCCGATGCTTCGTGTTAGCTTAGCGAGCGACTTTGGCTGGACTCCCAGCTCCAGCGTGATGTGCTCAACACCTCCAAAAGGAAGGCACATAAGTTGTGTATAATAGATACTTTATAGCTACTGCATTTACACATTTAACATTAATGATAAAAACATTTCTGGCTTTAACCAAACTAGCTGTAAGAGGATTTTCTTCAACAAAGGCTTGTAAGTTTGGAGGCTGTATCAGCAATGACCCATCGTCCAAGAGCCACAAATTTCCTTCGGTACTTTTCTTATTGATTAAAAAAAATCCATATACTGAAGAGTGGACCTGGACTATTTTATGACATTAATGTCATGTAATGTCATGCATTCAACGTAATGCATAAATTCAACACACTGCCGTGCAAAGGTTTCTCAGTTTCAGTGCCAGCGTATTTACCCTGCTTTGCCTTTGTAGTGCGCCAGAGTCCTTCCAGGTTCAACCAGCCAGCTAAGCAGCACCACTATCCACATGCCTTTATGAGATTGTTTCCACTGCAATTTATGTTCATTTGCAAAATCCCAGGTATCTTCATTAACCACAAAAAATGTTACAAGAAAGTGACATATTCGTATATTGTTACATTACTTTGGATTAGCAAACTTTTGTCCAAACACGAACGCATTGCTGGCAGCACTGGCCCTAACGCTTAAGGTGTGCCTAGTCAAACACAGGAATGCAGCTGGGCCTTAATGCATCTCAATGCCCCCATTATTTGCCTACAAAAATGTCTCCTTGGCATTACTTACACACCAAACAGGCGGTCTATTTATTATTATTTTTTTAAAAAAGGCTGACAGCATCTGTAGATACATTTTCACCATGCTGTGGTTACAGGCTGTGATTGCTGTTAGAGATTTCTCAGTGGTCCTGTATTAGGCAGCCAATGTGAGTATGTGACCCTGGCCTTGCATGGCAAATATTTGGCATTACATTTTTTGTGATACATATAATACAGTTGACTTGTCATACGCATGGGTTCCACATCCGCACATTCGACCAGCTGCAGACCGAAAATATTTGAAGAAAAAAAAAATCCAGGAAGTTCCAGAAGGCAGTCTGCACAGGAATAAGATAATGCTCCTCCCATTGCACAATCAGCACTTTACCGCTAAACACACCAGATAAACATTTTGAGGCTGGTGAATTTATCATTCACATTCTCTGCGCCTTAAGTACCATGACTAGGTGTTAGTTAATCTGAGGCAAATTAAGCTCCATCTGTTTATATTTAGTATTTATAGTCTAATTTTGGAGTATAAGTAGAAACTAATTTATTTAGTAATTTGTAATCCAAGAGTAAATCATTGGGTCTATATTACTACTATTTAAAGTCTCTGACATATTTTCACTTCATTTCACATTTCACTTACATTTCAAGTTTGTGACAAACTTGAGGACCTTAGAGACTCATTACCTTGCCTGCACAGCTAGAAGTGGTCATAAATACTTTAACACATGTAGTTCAAACAAGCCACCATCTTGTACTGGATCTTCTAGGGGTCTTTTAACCATCGTCATGAAGCTGGAAAAATATCTTGGATGTATTGTATCCAAAGGTGGTTCTCAAACGGGGATAGTACAAGTACAATTTACAATAGGATTTTTGTACAAAGTGGCTACAAAGTTATATGTAAAATCCAGCCTCACATCCAAGTGACAGGCTCTCTTATTGGATCCGAGTTCTTCTCTGTTAATGACCGTAAAACAGAAAATACACCCAGAGCTGCCCAAGAGGAACTGAAGACTTAAAATGATCTGAAAGTGGGTTTTGTAATCATATATCCTTTCGTTATATTCTATGCATATCCAAATATCTAGCTCAGGGGTGGCCAATCTTATCCGCAAAGGGCCGCTGTGTGTGCGGGTATTCGCTGCAGCTCCTTAATTATATTACTAATTAGAGGACTGATTGGCTGAGCAGTCCTCACACCTGGGTTTGAACAGCTGACCTAAAGGTTACCCCAAAAACCTGCATACAGACCGGCCCTTTGCGTATAAGATTGGCTACCGCTGATCTAACTCATCAGATTCAGGTAAATGTGAACGTTCATAAATAAAATTCCCTAAACATGCCTGGGAAACTGAAAAGTATTTACACCTCCTTGAATGAGGAGGATAACTACCACTATTAAATTAAGATTTTAAAAGACAGTCTGCTGCTAAAAGACCTGACTGAAAATCTTTTAAATCGTTGTTCCAATTCAGCAAGTGGCAGGGAAAAAAAGCAGGAGGGAATTAGTCTCTCGACACATAAAACCAGACACAATTTAGTCTGTTCGACAGATAATCACAGGAACTGTGACAAAGCAATAAAAACGGATTCATAAGTATTGCAAGAGATTATGGGGAAAACTAGCAACTCATTTAACCTGCTGTTATTCATCAATCCAGGCAAGCCTGTAAAACACAGTAGCTGGCGAAGAATAGCACTGACATGACAAGATTACCGTGAACGTCATGGTCCAATCTGATTCCCTAGCAACCTTTACTAATGCTTTTATTTCATTTAATCTCCTACAAGGTCAACTAGCCCAATAATAATCAAATGGTTGAGCTTCACTGATAACTCCAACATGTAACAGAAAGCTACACAACATGTGCAAAGCACTACTTCTTTTAAATTTAATTCTGCATCCTCTGACTTGTAACTTTCTCTGGCTCCATAGAAAATGCCTTAATTATTCCATGATCTGCACACAGAGACAACTCCAAAAATTGTAAGAACATATATACAATATATCAGTCTTCGCAAGATCCTGCATTTCAGTAAAGATACTGTATTCCTTTACTGTGGCCAAAGACAACAGATTCTGTAATGTCTGTATTTAACTAGGTCACAGCATCAGCTCTGAAAATGACACTTAGTGTTTTGATTCCATCACTGATTATATGGATAATTATAGCATTGATCTTGGTGAAAGCTGCAGCCAAACCTTTCTTCTTTACAAAAAGTAAACTGTAAAAATAACACCAGTCCTATCCATCCATCCACCATAGCTCTTCCAGTAGTTGTCCTGAGCCAGCAATACATCCAAGGAAACAGGAGACACTAAGAAGAAACATCTTGAATGAAAAGCCAGTCAGAATGGTAACAGCATGTTATATAACATGCCATGATTTATGGTGGATTATCAGTCATCAACAGTCTTTAGCAGATTTCCTAATCGTGAAACAAACCTGAAGCAACACCGTTTCAATATATGAATGAAGCAGAAGTACTGTAACAGTTTTGTATTGTCATTCATGCAGGTGTAAAAGCTGGACTTTTTAAACGAATCTCCTATACAAAGATCTACCAGGCAAGCTGCTTCAGGCACAGCCTATACCACCGAACAGCAAATCTTAGCAATCTATCAAACACCAAACAACATTTGCTTATGATAAACTTATTCATTGGTCATATATAGGTTCTTCATTTAAATTGCTTATTTAAAAGCAAAACACTAAATATTACACTGTAAGATAAAAACTGTACCAAAGGCTTCTTAAAGAGCCCAGACCAACAGATCCTAAACACAGATAACAGGAATTGTTACCTCTGGCAAGAACAGTTGCGGAGGCTAATAAGCATGAAATAAAGGTGTGAACAACTCACTTTGAGAAAAATAAAGCAGACCGTGGTCACACTTTATTAACACCTCTGATCTGTTTCTGATCAAGCTGAAAATCCGCCATGGCCCCCTCGCTGCAGCCACAATCACAAAGCAACGCTCATGCTTGCAGATAAATCCGGTCACACAAATCCCTACCAGGCTTTAACTGGTACCTTAAACAAACTGCATTTACGAATTACTTACTGACTGGTCAATGGCATGAACCTGGTGACTGAGTAATATAAGAAATTATAAGAAACTTTCCTCACACCCATAGTTAAAGAGGCAAAACAATCCTGTAATTCAGTATCAGCGTGTGTGTACGTATGCATGTGTGTATGCTTTTGTCCACAGCAATCGACGCAAGAAAGATTGAGAGCAAGATCAACCAGAATCTCGGGGAGAGTAGGGGCTAGGGGCCATACTCAAGGGTCTAACACTGATATGGGTAATCTGCCAACCGCGGGATTCAAACCCATGAATGTCCGGATATGGTTACGGATGCCTAATCTCCTGAGCTGCATACGTTATGGTTAAACGCTTTTAAATCCACATGGTAAACAAGAGGTGATTACGTAACAAACCACATGTCTGTCAGGGAACGAGGGGAATAACATTTTTGAATCTGAGTAGTATTACAGGAACAACCTCTGTTGTGCCATGAAGATCGTAAGCAACCTGCCAACAGCAAGATTAGTAGCAAATCCGATGTCAACTGACGCTTGCAATTGCAGCACCAATTCTCAGCGTCTTTGTACTTACTCGTCGCCATCTGGACACGTGCCTGTAGTTTCGTCGTACTTTGTACAATAGACGTCAGGGCTGTAGTTAAAGGTCCCATCCCTCCTCCGAATCGGGCGTCTTCTCCGCTGGTTCAGAAAATGCCAGTGGAAACACGTGAAGGGTCTATGCTGAGTGCACTTGTGTTGCAAAAACAAGGGACATTGCTCCGTCCTGAACTCCTTTAAATAGCTGCAGAGAAGATGCCAGCGTTAATAGAAATACTTTTCTGAAAGTCGATGAAAGAACACCAGACGGGAAGCTTTGAATTTACTTCGGCGTTTACGCTCGGATGCCTTGTGATCATACATTTACTAAAACTGCCCAATTCCAGCGTTTCCCACTCTACCCATTACTGAACTGCAGGCACTAAAAACTGAGCGAATGCGGGGTAAGTCAGGAAAAAACATCCAAATCACAGTTTCAAACGTTTGCAGAAAAAAAAAATATTTTTGCAGATAATATGAATCAGTGGGAGCTGGGTAAAGCAGTTAGCTTAAACACGGCAGCGCGCTATTCCGGTACACATTACGCACTTTATGAGCGTGAAAGCAGCTCAGTGGGCCGCCGCGTACGCAAAGGGGGCGCGCACGGAGCAGCAACACGGGCCGTGGCGGAGGGAGAAAAACAAAATACTAGCGCCACCGTAACTTAACGGTGCCAGGTACGCCACCAGGAAACGAGCCCATCTGCACAATGTCTACGGCGCGCTTCCATTATCAGCCATCTAATCTTTGGCTTTAATCGAGGAATTAAGTTAATTAATTTGACTTGCAGTACACTTAGCAGCATAGCTAAATGTGGCCGTGTAGCTACGTGTATTCGACAGAACTTACTAAAGGGGGGAAAAGCGCCGTTTTTCAAAAGCACTTTAGCACCATACTACAAGCCGCTACGACCATGCGACGCACTGGCACCGTCGCGCAGTTTTTCTCCATGACGCGTGCGAGTGGTTCTAACGCGGGCTTTACTCACGTATAGTGGGTCGGTTTCTCGGTCTGAGGAGAAGCGCTCGCCGCCGTTTTCGAAACCGACGGCATCTTCGGTCAAAACAATGGAGAGCGCCTGCGCGACGGCGCGCGCCGCTCGCCGCGCATGCGCGACCGTACTCTCACTCACTGAGGGGAGCAAAGCTGCTGGAGACACGCCGGGCACAGCCACGTACAGAATACGTATCCTCCGTAAAACAGCTCTTACAGAGTAAGCGGAAATGGCAGTACCTTGCCGAATTAATTGTGCGTAACTGAAACCAGTCCCTTCCAGGCTTATGGTTAAAGACCATTGCCTTGTGATATTTCAGCTACAGTTTCACAATAAACACGACGTCATGAAAGCATGATTTTAATATTTGCAAACAGCAAGAAATTGGCATGACGACACGGAGGATGGGCGTGGGCGGGGCTTGGCCGAGGAGGGCGTCACTACCAAGACAAATATTCGGTTACGGGGCGATACTTCGGTGCAGACAGCCTTTTTAAAAATTGTTTATTTTGTGGTCCCTCTTGGTTTTTTAAAGGACACTGGTTAGTCTTGATTTGGTGTAAGTATGTTTTTTGTTGATATATAGTATATCTGGAAAGTTGCTGTGGTGAGGTGTTGTGTAAGCTAAGCGTTCCTTCCTGGGTGTCCGAGGCAGGGCGGCCGCCGGTAGGCTTTTCTCCTTCCCATAATGGACTCCATGCAGTCTTGCATGGCCATGTTTGTCTGGCCGGCTTTCCTCAGGGCGCCATGTTAGATGGCCAAACCTAAAGTGGGACCTACGGGTCCCTCTTCTGTCCGTAATGGAGGATCGGCCTGGGAATTTTAACAAACCAAACCCATCACACGCCTGGAAAATCAGCACCTGACGCAGTGTGTTTTTATGGGGATTATCTGTTACATTTGTCTGTTAAATGAGGTTGTTGGAGACCCAACGAAGCTGCCTGGATAGATGCTGCATAGCATGAGTGCTTTAAGCAACTTGGCGGCGTCCAGTGACAGCTGGGCTTGTGGCGGAGAAGCCGGATCAAGCCTTTGGCTTTTGGTCGCTGGATCCTAAGTCACCTGGACGCCATCAGTGATGTTCACCTGGCCATTACTGCCATAATATTAAGCCAGTTTGACCGCTTTGAAGATCTGTATGAAACCCAGTTTGTTTTTTCCTCTTGTCGATGTGGGTTCAGGCCTTTTTTTTTTAACCAGTACGAAGCTGTTCCTTTTAGTTTGCCAAGCAGAGATCAGAGTCGGATTATTAATTTGATACCGCCATTTTGAGCCTGTATTTATGTGACAGTAATCTTGTAAAGTACGCCTTAACCTACCGGTGACCAGTCGATTTTTTGAGCCATGAGGTAACGAGTGCCTTGTCATTTTCTTTTCTTGTGAGTTTATTAATAGATATTGGGTCAGCGACGATTACTATACCTCAATTAATGGCGTATTCAGTATGGAAACTGAATGGGGGGTTCCTTCGTTGTTACATTTGGTTGATTTTTATGATAATAGCCAGTTCGTTGAGAAAGCACTCTTTATCATCTTTCAGAACATGGCTCGTACGAAGCAGACTGCCCGAAAGTCCACTGGCGGGAAGGCGCCCAGGAAGCAGCTGGCCACCAAGGCGGCGCGGAAGAGCGCGCCCTCTACCGGCGGCGTGAAGAAGCCGCACAGATACAGGTAGGCGCGCCTCGGGCGGCCCTTCTCCATGCCGTTGAATTCTCCGCTGAGACTAATGCTCCCCATATTTCCCTAAAGGCCAGGCACCGTGGCGCTCAGAGAGATTCGCCGCTACCAGAAGTCCACAGAGTTGCTGATCCGAAAACTGCCTTTCCAGCGGCTCGTTAGGGAAATCGCCCAGGACTTCAAGACTGATCTCAGATTCCAGAGTGCGGCCATCGGTGCTCTGCAGGTGAGAGTTTGTGTCTGGTGTATTAATCAGATTGACTTTTGAAGCTTGGCGGCCTTAGCTGTGATTTCCATATAAAGGGCCTCGGCTGTTACTGTGATCTGTGAATGATCTCGGGTCTCTTTTAGGCCCAGTACAACCACTACTTGTTTAGTGACCAAGTTCTATTCCAACAACCAGGTCATTAAGCTAAGCGTTAAGTGAAAATCACAGTAGGCTATGAATAACTGCGACTGCTCACAGCTTAACTGTAGGTTTCCATACTTGATCCTGTCCTTCCTAAAGTGGACATTTTGGACAACATTTTGTACATTCTGAAAGATCACTCTCGCTCCGGCATGTGGTGTTAGGAGTACAGAATATGGTTGCAGTTGGTTGCATATCATGTGGTGCAGGGCATCCAAGTCTCATGCAGGCTTTGCTGTAGCCAGAATAGCGTGCTTGCTTTTAGTCTCTGAGAGCTTCTCTTATGGAAACAATTTTATTTCCCATGACCTTTTACAATGACTATTTTCATCACACGCAGGCATCTCCCAACACGACAACACGATAACTAGACAAATTTTAGTTCAGTCTGATTCCTCTGCAAGTAAACATTTTGGCTGCTTTAATCTGCCTCAGCTCCCACCTGTTTTCCTATATGAGTAGTATGTGTGTAGTTATCAGGGGTTAACTGGGGTGGGCGTGTGTATCCCTCCTGTGGCCAGTTCAGAGTTGGAATGAGCCTTGGATCTCGGCCCAGTCTAGCTTGGCAGATGAAGAACGGCAGCTGACTTAAATCACTATGTCTGGTTTTTGTTACAGGAAGCCAGTGAGGCGTACCTGGTTGGCTTATTCGAGGACACTAACTTGTGTGCCATCCACGCCAAGAGAGTCACCATCATGCCCAAGGACATCCAGCTAGCACGTCGAATCCGGGGCGAGCGTGCCTAACGCGCCTAAGTCTGGGTGGAGCTTCCACTTTTGTTTTTATTTTGTAAAATTTTCCTTCATTTATACTCACCCCCGTATTTAGGTTGTTTTGTATCATATTAGCACTCAATGGTTTGCATTTGGGAATAGTAGCAGGGTTTTTTTATGTAAAACATTCCTCCAATGCCTTCTCAGGTTTTTAAGATTTATATTGTACATTGTTATACCTCTGACTCTGTGACAAATTAAGTAGCTTGTATGCTTTGGGGATTAGGCAGCTGATTAGGAAACGTGTAACATCTGTCTTTGTATTGTGATTATTGGGTTGTAAATAAACTTTCTACTACCTCACCTTCTGATTCTGCAGAATTTCTTCATGTGAACTAGCGGTGCCTTGCTGTCTTTGTTTCGTTTGGGGGGGGGGGACTCTCACCAAGTCATTGTCTGTAATGACATTGTAAGCTCAGGGTTTTATCTTCTTATCGGTGCATGTAACATGTCAGAGTCGGCTTACCATGGTAATCCGTAGCACGTCATCAGCCCAGCAGGTATGAGTAACCTGGCTTTGAGGATCTGAGAAATACTCCCTCATGTCCAGTGGCAGTTCTTCAGAAGTACAAATAAACACTAAACCTGGAAGTAATTTTGCTCATACAGTGCTCACAGGAAGTCTTGGGACATTTACTTAATTCAGTAAAAATATGTCTTTATTTGCTTATAAAACCACATTTATTGGTTTTATAACAAAATCATTATTTGTTTACAAAATAATATGTATCACATTAGAAACAACAATTTAGTTTTAAGCAAAACATTCAAGTAGTAATTCACTGAAGCCCAAATTATAGTTCTGAAATAGCTGTTCTAAGTTAACAAGTTCATTGACAAGCAGTCTCATTGGGGGAATTTTAATTATTAACACCTTTGTATAATATAAAACATCAAACATTTGGGATACTAATAGATACAATTGCAATTAATAGCGAAATGGCAAAAAAAAAAACAACTGAATTAGTAGAAAGAAAATGTTTGTGCAGAAGATATGTGCAAATGTTAAACATTGCTTGTCAATTGTGAAACCAATACATTTGCGACATTGTTACAGAATTAAGCAAGCGCCCCGGACTCTGAGCGCAGTATTACTTCATATTAGAAGCACTAAAGCAAAGAATATTTATAGAATGTAATTCTGTTCTCCCTCGCTAGATGGCCTCACCATGCAAGCAGGGTTGCCTGAAAACAAGAACAAATGTCCCATGAAACGGCTACCCCTAGCGGCATTGTGCGAAGCTCAGGTGGCTCATCTTAAACGTGGAGCAATCAAAGCAGATGTTACCCTCTTTGTATGCCCAGTGCAACCCAATTACCAGCAGAAAGCTCTCCACCACAGCAAAATCAATTGTGAAAGGAGACACAGATTTTCACAAAACTGTCATTAATTTAATATCATCGCTAGAGCATTTACATTTCTGTTCCACAATGCTTACTACTATGTCACAATGAGCGAAATTCGCCAGTGAGGAATCCTCACATCTATCAAAAGGAGCATTCTGATTCAACACTGCTGTTTGCTACGCTGTTTATACTGTAGTATACTGAGCTGTTAGTTAAGTTCACCCCAAACGAGCTTGATGGGCCGAATGGCCCCCTCTCGTTTGTAAATTTTTTATGTTCTTATGTAGTAATTCTGCAACAAAAATATGCATATGTGATATTGATAAGTTTAGAAAACTATTCCCTTTGAAATAATTCATTCTTAATTCGTTTTTATTGACTCGGACAAAATGAGAACAATTAGCACGACGAGTCTTGATACTAGATCATAATAACGCAATAAAGTTGCCTTGCAGTTCAGTTGTGTGGCATTTTTAGGTGCTGTTTGCTTATTGTTTTAAATCACCGTGGACTTTGCATATCTAATTATCAAGGTGTTTCACTATCGATAACTAAACCGTGTCACTTGTTTAAATTACTACCTCCTATTTATTGTTTGTTTGTTATACTGTATCAAGTAATTGTTATACTGCTTTCAAGTAATTAAGTTGCGATGTTATCCTTGGTGCTGCCACTAGAGGGAATTGCTTCACTTCTTTGAAACACAGGCAAATCAATCTGGATATGCTTTCTTTAGATATCTTACTTTTTGGTAGAATAATTTCCCTTTAAAACAGTTCAGAAAGACGTAACTGCCAGTAATTGTGGACCAAACCCCGTCAGAAATATTTTCTTATAAATATTTAGCTTCATGAGGGATACAATGGACAAGATGCTGTGTATGGGACAATGGGGACACATCAGAGCAGAATCTCCAGCATACGAAGTAAATAGCAAATACAATACAAAACAGATACTGGTGTGACATACGCAGTGACTCAGGGCAGAAATGCAATAAATGAAAAAAAAAACCAAAACATTTACTGTAAAATTAACAATTGAGTTTCTGTCAGGGGAGTGCGGGAAACAGGCATGGCCTCATTTTGGATGGAGACGGGCTGGATATTCCCCCGTTCTTCCTGATCAAATAAGCGGAGTCCTCCAATCTTTCAGTCCAGTCTGTGCTTATCTGTTGCCGTCCATACTGATCTCTGTCTGTTCCTTCAAAGGGAACTCACCAATTCCATCTTTGCAGTATAGATCTCTGTCCATCTTTGCAGTATAAAGATTATATAGCAGTCATCACATGTCTGCCTTTCTCTGCGTCTCCATTGTAGGTGAAAGGCAGAGGTTTGCCATATGAGGAATCCCTCCAGTCCTGACTTGCACGTCTTCCCAGTCACCTGCAGCACCCGTCCACAGATCATCTTCAGCTCAGCATTTAAATTTACAAATGCAATCATAGTCAGTTGTATTATTCAATAGCCTTTCTGTTCTTTGTCTGTATTCCTACCTCTGCTATTTCTTTCAATCTTTTTAATTACTCTCCTGAAGGAGGCAGTGAATCACACCACTGCTTACTCCAGTCAAATGGCAGTGATTGAGGATATATGCACCTATTATCAGGGTATTGAAACTGACAGTCAGGATAATTGTCCTAGAATAACAGCCTTTGTCATACAAATACAAATGCCATATTTTGTATGTCTGTCATACATGTTGGTCACCTAAATCAAACCTTGTTTTAGGTAGTGAATGTGTCAGCTGATAGGAGCTGCAGTTCTTAGAGTTGATTCAGTTGCTATGGTTACAACATCCAAGATGGAGCAAAGTAGTCTAGAGAGACTGAACAACCTGAGACAGGGAGCAAGCAAATGCCACCTTTCAGATCCTTCTACACAGGGATTGTAAAACGTGTTTGCAATGAAGGGTTTGTAACCCTCTTCTAGTATTTGTGGAAATGTTTTTGGTTTGTTTTTTGTTTTTGGTTAGAAAGCCGCTATACAACATTCTGACAGATTTTCCAGCCACTCAACCCTGTCTTTCAGAAGATTAGCTGTGAGAAAATGCTTTACTGGCTTGGCTATTAATTGGGCCATTATGAGAAGCCCTGGGCATTGAAAGCCTGTGATTTACCTTGATTTCAAGAACCCTTTGCTGAACTTGAAACCCTAGAAAATAATGGATGAATGTGCAATGCCTTCTGTAGCACTGAATCTCATAAAATACCCTGCGTTTTGATTTGAAAAAAAAAAAAAAAAAGCTTGGTATCCTTACTAAAGTAAAATTCAAATGTTCAACCAGCTTTGTTGTACATATTGTGTATGTTAAGACCACTGGTGCTTTTTTGTGCTTTAATGATAACCCTGGACATCCAATACCCAGAATATCGGTTTGTGAGTGATCGTCATTCTCATTCTCACAGTTCAACAACAATATCTGGGCCTCTCAGATAGCAAGTTCTTCTGGTTGCATGTCTCTGTCTCTGCGTATTAATCTATCTGCTTTTTTTGTCGCTACATCTCACCGACATCTAAATGAGATACTTACACTCCACTGTGCCGTTGACCACGCCCGCCTTTGACGCTCGGCTGATCCTAGCTGCACATGCGTCACTCCTCATCTACTCACAGTAGCTACTTGTTGTAGCTCCTTTTGGCCATCAGTTCTCAACACGCTGTTACTTGTCACCACATCTTTATATCCCGAGTCACATGCAGTCCAGTTGTTCATTGCTGAGCGATCCCCAGGGAGGGCGCTGAGGGATCCCCAGGGAGGGTGCTAAAGGGATTCCCAGGGAGGGCGCTAAAGGGATCCCCAAGGAGGGTGCTGAGGGATCCCCAGGGAGGGCGCAAAAGGGATCCCCAGGGAGGGCGCTGAGGGATCCCCAGGGAGGGCGCTAAAGGGATCCCCAGGGAGGGTGCTAAAGGGATCCCCAGGGAGGGTGCTGAGGGATCCCCAGGGAGGGCGCAAAAGGGATCCCCAGGGAGTGCGCTGAGGGATCCCCAGGCAGGGCGCTAAAGGGATCCCCAGGGAGGGCGCTGAGGGATCCCCAGGGAGGGCGCTAAAGGGATCCCCAGGGAGGGCGCTAAAGGGATCCCCACGGAGGGCGCTGAGGGATCCCCAGGAAGGGAGCTAAAGGGATCCCCACGGAGGGCGCTGAGGGATCCCCAGGCAGGGCCCTAAAGGGATCCCCATGGAGGGCGCTGAGGGATCCCCAGGGAGGGCGCTAAAGGGATCCCCACGGAGGGCGCTGAGGGATCCCCAGGGAGGGAGCTAAAGGGATCCCCANAAAGGGATCCCCAGGGAGGGCGCTAAAGGGATCCCCACGGAGGGCGCTGAGGGATCCCCAGGGAGGGCGCTAAAGGGATCCCCAGGGAGGGCGCTGAGGGATCCCCAGGGAGGGCCCTAAAGGGATCCCCAGGGAGGGCGCTGCCTCTCTTGGCTCCTGCAATACATGTCATTTGTGAAAGACACTGTCCATGTATTTTCACCGGAGAAATTAATGTCATTATCTCTGCAGAATGGTGGAGTTCATGTCTGGATCTTATGAACAGTTAATACAAAATAAATCAGCATGTACAAGATCTAGAGCAGAGCTGACATTTTCCCCAGTTCCCTCATTTTTCCTGTTTTTTTGAACAACACTAATTTCCCAGGCTAGGATGCCTCAGCTGGAATAACAGTCGACGGTTTTCCCTCTTGCATCGTTCCCAGGCCGCACCTCTCCTGCACCCAGCTGCTTTTTCCACAAATAGTGATCAGAGCTTCACCGCATGCTGACCATGTCTCGCCCTACGGTCACCCAGCTCACATTTTAATCCACTCCAGAGGCAACCGCTGAATTGTCTTTACCTCAACACAGACTTATTACCAGTCATCGTTTTAGCAAAGAAAGGAACTGCGTGAATTCATGGTGGCAGTGCGTGGCTCTGTGGGTGAGGATGCTGTGTCTGTGAAGGTTGTGGGCTCCAATC